CGTACACTGTGAGAATGTCAACTAGTACAGCCACTTAGGAAGGTTTCTCAGGCCGGGCGCGGTGGCTCAAGCCTGTAATCCCAGCACTTTGGGAGGCCGAGACGGGCGGATCACGAGGTCAGGAGATCGAGACCATCCTGGCTAACACGGTGAAACCCCGTCTCTATTAAGAAATACAAAAAAACTAGCCCAGCGAGGTGGCGGGCGCCTGTAGTCCCAGCTACTCGGGAGGCTGAGGCCGGAGAATGGCGTGCGGAGCTTGCAGTGAGCTGAGATCCGGCCACTGCACTCCAGCCTGGGCGACAGAGCGAGACTCCGTCTCAAAAAAAAAAAAAAAAAAAAAAAGGTTTCTCAAAAACCATAAATGGGCCAGATGTGGTGGCTCACACCTGTAATCTCAACACTTTGGGAGGCAGAGGCAGGAGGATCACATGATGCCAGGAGTTTGAGACTAGCCTGGGTGACATAGGGAAACCATCTCCGCAAAAAATTTAAAAATTAGCCCGGCATGGTGGCACAGGCGTATAATCCCAGCTACTTGGGAAGGTGGGGTGGGAGGATCGCTTCAGCACAGGATGTTGAGTAAAGTTGCAGTGAGCCATGATCACACCACTGCACTCCAGCTTGGGTGACAGAGCAAGACTCCATTTCAGTTTTAAAAAAACACAAATAGAACTACTATATGATCCAGCTGTCTCCTTACTGGGTAAAGGGAAGAAAGTATATTGAAGAAACATTACACACCCGTGTTTATTGCAGCACTGTTCACAATAAATGTGGGATCAACCTAGGTGTCTAAAAACATGAACAGGTAAAATGTGGCATATATATACAAAGTGGAATACTATTCAGCCACCAAAAAGAATGAAATCCTGGTTTTTTTTTGTTTTTTTTTTTTTTTTTTGCAACGACATGGATGGAACTGGAAGACATTATGTTAAGTGAAATAAACTAGGAATAGAAAGTTAAACACTGTATGTTCTCACACATGTGGAAGCTTAAAGTTTTTTATAGAAGTAAAAAAAAAAAAAAGGATACTAGAGGTTGGGAAAGGTAGAGGGAAGAGGAATAATAGGGAAAGATTAGATACAAAAGATACAAAATTACAGCTAGATAGGAGGAGTAAGCTTTAGTGTTCTCTACCACTGTAGGATAACTACAGTTAACAGTAATATATTACATAGTTTCAAATAGCTAGGAGGAGAATATTGAATGTTCCCAACACAAAAGTACTTGAGATGATGAATATGCTAATTACCCTGATCTGCTCACTATTCATTATATGTAACATCACAGTGTACCCCATCTACAATATTATTTGTGAAATAAACTTTTTTAATTTTTTGAGGGAAAGTGACTTCCAACATAGAATCCTATACTCTGTCATACTGTCAGTCAAGTGTAAGATTATAATAAGGATATTGTCACACATGAACATCTCAGAAAATTTATTTCTTAAATACTTTTCCTCTGGAAGCCACTGGAAGTTCAGTTCCACCAAAACAAGGGATTTAAATGAAGAAAAACTACATAGGAACTGAGAACGAAATCCAACAGGAATCCCAAGTATTACAGTGATGTTATTGTCCCAAGTGGCATGTTTTTAAGGAGCAACCAGTCCAGGTTGGGTTAGGTCAAAAAACTGATGGGATGGTGCTTGGGAGAGTTCTTACAGGAAATGAAATTGATTAATATCTAAAGTGAATGTATTAAGAGAAGATTAGACAACTGATGGAGTGTTGGGAGTTGCATTAATAATAAGCACATAGAAAACTACGCAAATGAGAAAACACTATTCCAGGAAGAATGAATTAGTGTATTGCTGAAACACAACTAGTGATATAAACAAAATTACATATAATTAGAAAGATGGAGAGTATGATGAACACAGGAAAGAAAGAAAACTAATGTTTCATCTTTCATAGTAGAAATCTGATGAGAAATACCAATTTTTAGCAGTACAAATATGTAATTTAGATATATGTAAGTAAACAGTATGAATTAGCTAAAAGAGCTTTATGTATTTGTGAGGAAGAATAAATGGAGGAGAGGAAACTGGAGTCTGCTGGTAATAATATTAGGCCAACTCTTTGAATTCATAGAGTTTTAATAAAAATAAAACCTTAGTAAAAGAGGCTTCTTGCCAAAGGCCTGTTGAGGGTCTGTGGCACTTAATTGATAAATATAATGTCCAAATTATACTTCATTCTGTCTTTTCACTCTATTCACCTGCAGGTTAAGTACAGATTTTGTTCCATAATTCCTGTATTAATAATGATGCATAATTTCCTTGTGCTGGCAAACAGAGCCTGAGTTACATAGCAGCAATGACTCGGTTTCCTTTTATTAAATGTTTGGAGGAAAAGAATGTGGATTAGAAGAAATAGAGTGCCAACACTGTTCTTTTACAGAAGAGTAAAAACATGTAACTAGATGAATAATGATGTCTGTATACTTTACGTATGATTTTATGTTTTTGAAATTCATCTCACTTGGACAATTCTCTGAAGCAGAGGAATAACCAACAAAGTTCCAGGGATAAATCATCTCTACTTATTTTTTATTTTATTTTTTTCTTTTGGGGACAGAGTCTCACTGGGTCACCCAGACTGGAGTGCAGTAGCATGATCTCTGCTCACTGCACCTCTGCCTCTCAGGTTTAAGTGAATGTTGTGCCTTAACCTCCTGAGTAGCTGGGACTATAGGTGCATGCCACCACGCCTGGCTAGTTTTCGCATTTTTAGTAGAGACAGAGTTTTGCCATGTTGGCCAGGCTGATCTCGAACTCCTGGGCTCAAGGGATCTGCCCACCCCAGACTCCAAAAGTGTTGGGATTGCAGGGACAAGCCGCCATGCCCGGCCTCATCTGTAAATGAAACCTCCTCTTTGGGTGGAGTTTGCTGACATTTGCTGAATATGATCTCTGAGAGTTTCAGTATCTTATCGGAAAAGACACCCTACCCTGACTTTTCCCCACCCCCTTGGCATGTGAAGAGCTAAAGCTGTAGTGTTTTATGGCATTAAAGAATCATACTTAAAGTCTTGGAGTAGATTTTTATCATTTTGGAATAGATCCATTGACATGTGCACCAAAGCAGTGTAATAAAATGTTGATCAAAACTATATTTAACCATATTAATGTGTGTTTCTCCTCTTTTAAAATTGAATTTGCAATATATTTTACTTGATAGTAACACAAGAGATTTACCAGAGACTAGCAAGTGGAGTGTAACCCTTATAATTCATTTACATGTTCATTTAGTTACTCATAAATAACTTCATTTTGGACACCTGCTTTATACCAGGGACTATCCTGTGTACTATGTTTCTGGTGGTTGAAGCAGTATGTACTGTCCTTGCCCTCAAGGAGCTTATAGTTTAGTGTATAAGATGGACATTTATTTTTAAAATAGTTTGCAAATAAACTACCGTATAATTACAATTTATGATAATTGCTAGTATGAGAAAGTAACAGAGTAAGGTAAGGGACTGATTTAAATTAGAAGCATCAACTCTAGGTGGGAAAGATCATTTTCAGACAATATTTTCAAAATGTCTACCTCCCACATACGTATTATACAGTAGCTTTCTCACGACGCTGCTGGAGGATGCTGCCACCAAAACAAAACAAATGAAAGAGAAAAGGCATAGATAACAGGATATCTAATACAGGAAGGAGAGAAGTGATCCATCAAGATAATGATAAAGAGAACCCAGGATGCCAGCTTTGCCACCAGAGAGACCAGTATATATTAGATTAGGTCAGAATTCACTGAAAGAAATTTCTAGAAAATAGGATAATGCAACCAAAGACATTGAGAGGAGAATTGGAGAGAAATGGAATGGATTTGGGTTGGATTTTGGAGGTAGATTGGTGGACCTTGGTGATTGATTAGGTGTGGAAGTTGAGTGATAAATGAGCTATGACTGCTAGATTCCTGCCTGTTCAGATAGACGTAGTGTTCATATACTGAGTTGAGGGAACACTGGAGGAAGAAGATTTCAGAGTATGTCGAAAGCCCCTTTTCGGTATTGAGTTTAGAATGCTAGAGAGATACTCAAGTAGAGATGTCAAATGGGCAGTTAAATAAATAGCCTGATGTCCAGAAGAGGGTTGTGAATATTTATGTTGTATAAATATCAACACAGAGATGCTGTTTGATGCCATGGAAGACAATTAGATAGCCTCAGGTGAGAATAAGGACTGAGAACGTAAAGCAAAGGACGAATCCTAAGGAACTAGAATTTATAGAGGTCTTGTGGAGAAGGAGGAACGATTATTAAGAGATTGCTGAGTGTAGAGGCAGGTAGGCCAAAACTAGTAGATTTAGTAATGCATATGAGTTGAGAGAGTAGAGGCAGTGTATATAGACAATGTTATCAGAAACTTGTTTGTAAAAGTGAAAATGAGATTGAATGGTAGTTAATAGAGGTTGATTGGGGGAGGATGTTTGTTTTAAATATATTTTATGTGAGAAATACCAAAGTATATATAAATGCTGATCAATGGTGAGGCTCTAGGAGAGTTTGGAGATGCTGAGAGGCAGGAAGGAATGAAACTCCAATTACTCATGCAGAATTAGTCTTCAATAGTGGATACGTCAGGACCAGGGTAGAAAACATGGCACTTTAATGATACTAAAGATAAGTCACCTTTAATTCATCCATATAGAATATAATGTTATGAGAAATTTTTCGTCTTTGACTAAAATCCTTAAAACTGTGAATTTATGACTTAGTAATTTTATTGTTGCCGTGATTACCTATATGTTATGCTAGAGAACCTTTTTTTATAGCCCAAATATAATTAGGTCAGAACATTTTCTCTAAAACCTTAGACATTTTTCCTTTTCAGGGACATTAAAAATGCATTTGATTGTTCCTATATTTGAAGAGTATTTGTATTTATCAGTAATGGTACAAAATGACCAAGTATTGAAAGTAATAGAAAACAGTTTCTGGGCTTAATTTGGTTTAAGTTTTTCTTTTTTATTTTACAGAGTCCAGTAAAGAACAGTTTGCCAGTACAAACATTGCTGAAGAGCTAGTAAAACTCTTCAAGAAACAAATAGAACATGATAAGAGAGAAATGATTTTTGAAGTTCTTGCTCCATTGGCAGAAAATGGTGAGAAAAATAAATGCACCTTTGGATTTTCAATCATGTATACTTTAAATTTTTTTCCTAATATTATTTAATTGCCAGCCATTTGACTCAAAACCATTCTTTATTAGTGATATGTTTTATTTTGCATATCTCTAACTTTAGATAATTAGCTATGTTATCTACTCCGTAACTATATCTACATTGGCCAAAGCAACTTTCCAGGTTCCTTTGATTTTAAAATCTTAGAAAAGATACTTCTGTAGCTAACACATTCTTGTGCCATTCTGGAAAAGGCAGCTGCGAGGCTGACCTCTACTTCTATACACTTGTAAAGCAAAGGGGATAAAAGTTGGAGTCTCAGGCCTGCCAACAGCGAAGATAGTGGTTAATCACTCTCTTCTTTGGGCACAAAAATCTTAAGAGATGCATCGCAGAAATAAGAATGAGTCAGAGGAAACAAACCATTCCATATTAGTAATTTTTCAAATATAATGTCTAGCACATACTCAAAGAGGATCAGATGTTAATACATGAGACAAAACATTATAAGCAAGAATAGGCAGCAAATCTTCAGATACTGGAATTATTAGACACTAATTCAAAACAAGTATACTTATTGTGTTCAAAGAGGTAAAAGTAAGCTTAAATAATTTAGAAGGAAACTGAAAACTATTTTTAAAAAGTGACGTAGCAGATTTAAGAATGAAATAAATGGAAATTTCTGAATTGAAAAATACAACCAAAGTTAAGAATCCAGTGGGGGGCTTAATAGCAGATTTAATAGATACTGTTGAATTAAAGAACCAGTGAAGTGGAAAATGGGTTGGAAAGAAATCCAATATGAACTAAAATGAAAAAAGAACCTATTTACATAAAAGAGAATAAGAGGTCAGAGGATAAAGTGAGACATTCTCATATGCATTTTTTGGAGTCCCAAAAGGAGAGTAGAGAAGGTGGGGAGGGGAGTGTGCAGAGGCAATATTTGAAGAAATTTTGGCAGGGAATTTATCAGAAATTATGAAAATGCAAAGATCCAAGAAGCTCTTTAAACCCAAAATACGATAAACAGAAATCCATATCTAGATTCCTCATACTGAAAATGTAGAAAACCAATGACCAAAATCATTATCTTCAAAGTAACAACAGTTTGTCTGACAGCTACCTTCTCAACAGCAACAATGGAAGCCAGATGTTATAAATGTGGTTTGTCAGAAGGAAAGTGATACAGATGCAGGGGAGAATAAAGACCAAAAAAACCAGTGAATATGTAGGTAAATCTTATGAACATTGAATATATTTGAAAAATAACTTACTGTGAAGTTTACAATGTACAATTATATGATTTAAAATATACCACAAACTGAGCATATAAATAAGAAGAGAGGTAAAAGGAGTTAGAGTCCTAAGACACTTGTGTTATCTGGAAGACTCTGGTTATTTAGTCACTTCAACTTTTAAGGTGACTACTAAAGTAATTTTTAAAAATCATGTATAACTACCAAACAAACTGAACAAATGGAAGGGACTTACAGAAAGATTTTTTAATACCCTAGCAATGCAAAACAAGAAAAAAGAAGAAAGAAAAAGGAACATGAATTATAGAGGACAAATAGAACATAAGAAGTGCAGTTTTAAGACACAGTATTTCAGTAATTATGTTAAATGTGGCCTAAATGCTCTAATTAAAAGACCATTTGTCACTTGTGTTTTAAAATAAACAGTTATACTACTTAAGCAATACTTATTAAATAGGAGATTTAAAAGATTGAGAATAATAGGATGGAAAAAATGTACCACTGGAACCTAAAGAAGGCTGGGGTAGTTATATTAATATCAAGTAAAATATTTTAAGATGAAAAGACTTGCTAGGGATAAAGAGGGTGACTTTAGTAATAAAAGATCCAATTTACCTAGAAAAAAAATGACCATCATACATTATCCCAAAACATACAAAGCAAAAACATTCAGAACTATGAAGAGAAATAGACAGATCCACAGAAATTGAGAAATTTTAATACCTCTTTCAGTAATTTATAGAATAAGATAGAAGAATAAAGTTATAGAAAATTTGAAAATGATTAAGACAATTGATTTAATGGACTTATTTTAGAACACTTCAACTACAGAGTTCTTTCAAGTACATATGAAACATTTAAGAACATGTATACTTGTCATGAAAGAAAGAAATTTCAAAAGATTGCTATCATACAAAGTATTTCTTTGACCTAAGTGAGTTGTCTAGTAACCATTTATAAAAAGAAAACCAGGAAATCTCTGTATGTTTACATAGTAGGAAATATACTTCCAATACCTCAGAGGTCAAAAAAGAGTTGTAATGGAAATTAGAAATTTTTCTAGTAGTAAAAATGAAAATAGTCTATCTCAAATCTTACATGATACAAGTAAAGCCCTATTCAGAGGGAAATATTTTGCTCAAAATGCTTTTATTAGAAAAGGAAAAGAACTAAAATCAATGAGCTCAGTATTCATCTCAGGAATTTAGGGGAAAGAAAATATAAACCCAAAAACCCAAAAGGTAACTTTTCAATCCTCACCTCCCAATTTGTGTGAATATGCTCATAGTAGTCTCTGATAATCTTTTGTATTTCTGTGGTAGCAGCTATAATGTCACCTTTATTGTTTCTGATTGTGCTTATTTGAATCTTCTCTTTTTTTGGTTAATGTAGCTAGTAGTCTATTAATTTTGTTAATCTTCACTTGTACTCCCTAAATCTACAAAAAAAAAATTTAGTAGTTAACTGGAATAAAATACAACAATGTTGACAAAATCCACAAGTAATATATATTCTTTTAAAAAGCAGAAGAAAAGATAGGGAATCAACCTAAGTGTCCATCAGTGGATGAGTGGATAAAGAAAATGGGTTGTGTATACACACACACACACATACCATGGAATACTACTCAGCTATAAAAAAGAATGAAATAATGTCTTTTGCAGCAACTTAATTGGACGGCATTAATTCTAAGTGAAGTAACCAAATGTCACCTGTTCTCATAAGTGGGAGCTATGCTCTAGGTACACAAAGGCATACAGAGTGGTAGAATGGACTTTGGAGACAGAAGGATGGAGGGAGTGAGATGAGGGGGTGAGGAGTAAAAAACTACTTTTTGGGTACAGTGTACACTATTCAATGATGGGTGCCCTAAAAATCCTAGACTTTGCCACTATATTATTCATCCATGTAACCAAAAACCACTTGTACCACTAAAGCTATTGAAATTTTAAAAAATAATAATAATAAGCAGAAGGAAGGAAATGTAAAGAGCTGAAATAAAATGGAAAACATACAGTGCAACACAAACATATAATTGCTACAGTTGAGTCTGAAAAGACATTGGAATTGATAAACCCCTAGTCAGATTCATAAATGAAAAGGGAGAGAAAGCATAATTAACCAAAATTAAGAATGCAAGAGGAGGAGACCTTACCACAGGTCTTACAGCTATTAAGAGGATATTATGAACAATTTGATGCCCATATATATGTGTATGTACGTGTGTTTGTGTGTGTGTGTGTATATATATACACACACAGGAATATATATATATACACACACACAGGAATGTTCAGAGCAGCATTATTTATAATGAAAAATTGGAAACCAATATCCATTAACAGAATGAATAAATCATAGGATATTAATATAATGGAAAAATATAGAGTTATGAAAAGGAATGAAGACAGCTATAACTATTACTGTGGATGAATCTCATCATGTTGAAAGAAAAAAGCCAACACTGAAAAATACATATTGTATGATTCAATTTATATAAAGTAAAAAAAAAAGTAAAACTAAATTGTAGTTTTTAGGAATGATTGTTTACTTGGTAAAACGAAAGTATAGAAGTGATTGCCATAATAATCAAGATAATTTGAGATGAATGAAGGAAGGGGTTTGTTATCAGAAACAGAAATGTAGAGATAGGCTTCCTGAGTTGTTGGTAATGAATTTCTTAATCTAGGTGATAGATCCATGGTTATTTGCTTTCTAATAATATATTAAACTTAACTTGCATATTTTATGCACTGCTCTGCATTTGTGGTTTTCTTCCACTCTTTAAAAAAAGTTTTTAAATACCTGTATATGATGCATACGTGATACATACATGTGTACATTTATACATGTGTGTGTAAACAGTGGTGATAAAGATATATGTCCTTGGACAGAATGGTTTTGGTAAATGTGCTGGGCTGTCTGCTTTGGCAGAATGTGTTGCTAATCCTATTTAAGGTAGTTTAAGCCTTCCATATATTTGTTTTCAAGTATTTGATTTCAGTCAAATTATGAGATCATCTGTAAACTTTAACATTGACACATTTAGGCTGGGTGTGATGGCTTATACCTGTAATTCCAGCACTTTCAGAGGCCAAGGCAGGAGGATTGCTTGACCCCAGGAGTTCAAGACCAGCCTGGGCAACACAGCAAGACCCTGTCTCAAAAAAAATAATTGATTAAAATTTTAAAACTACAATATTGACACATTTAAAATTTCTTAAATGTCTTAGGTCCTATGTTTTAGGGAGAAATTGGTTTTTCATCTCATTGGTGTTTTGGCAAAGTGAAAACTTTATTGTGACCTTCAGTCACTTTTATGCCATAAAATTACCTGTAACTTTCCTTGCAGTATTTCAAAATAACAATATGTTTATTACTGTTTTCCCCTGTGCCTTCACATCTGTTTTATAATTGCACAATGGATAGAATGATACCATTGAAGGCATATTTTTGGACTAATTTTTTGCATGTATCATCCTTGATTTTCTCAGTACACAAAGGAGAGTGATTTCAGTAGAAGTAGGGATTTGTGTAGTTCAAGGTTTTTAGTATTTTTAAGGTTTTTTCATCATAGTTTTTAATTCTAGTCGCCACACATCTCTAGCCCTAGCATTCTGTAACCAAGGAAACGCCCTACTTTTAGCATGGCACAGTGCAAGTATACCTTTTAAAGAAAAATTCCAGGTTGAATACTCTGTGTATTCTGAGATAATATTCAAAAGAAGATCAGTGATCCTAGTGATTCAAAAATGCCAAATTTTAACACATTAAAATTGCCTGAAAGTCTTAAGTATTTATTTTTACAAGTCTTTATTTTTCCTAAATGATAAGGTGAAGCTGCCATTGCCATATATGGATGCATATACAGCTTAGGGAAACCAATGACTAAAATAAAATCCAACTAAAAAAATAAAATTTAAATTTAAAAGTTTCTGGCCAGGTAGTGGCTCATGCCTGTAATCCTAGCACTTTGAGAGACCAAGGCAGGAAGACTGCTTGAGGCCAGGAGTTCAAGCCCAGCCTAGGCAACATAGTGAGACCCTTTCTCTACAAAAAAGTTTAAAAATTAGCCAGGCATGGTGGCATGCACTTTTAGTCCCAGCTACTCAGGAGGCTGAGATAGGAGTATTGCTTGAGCCCAGGAATTCAAGGATGCAATGAGCTATGATCACACCACTGCACTGCAGCCCGGGCAACAGAGCAAGATGCTGTCTCTTAAACAAAAAATTTGTGTTGCAAATGTATTTTTCATGTCAGTTGATTAGCATTTATCTTAAGGCGTATCAAGTACACTCAAAGCATTTAGATAGGCCAGTTTAGGTTAAAATACAAAGATGAGTAAGGTGTATCTATCTGGGGAACCAGCCCCCAATGTTTCAATGTAGGTTCTTTCTGTTTTCCCTAAGTGTTGGCCCATCTGAGAAATAAAGAGAAAGAATACAAACAGAGGAATTTTACAGCTGGGCCTCCACATCCCATATCGGTAGGTCTGTGATGTCTCCTGAGCCACAAAACCAGCAAGTTTTTATTAGGGATTTCAAAAGGGGAAGGGGTATACAGGGAGTAGGTCACAAAGATTAAAGGGCAGTAAAGATCACAAGGCAAAGGGCAAAATTAGAATTACTGATGAGGGTCTATGTTCGGCTGTGCACGTATTGTCTTGATAAACACCTTAAACAACAGAAAACAGGGTTCTAGAGTAATAGTGGAGTAACACTAGTTGCCTTCAGAGCTGAGTATCAATTTGTTTAGATGCTGCAAGACATTGTGAAAAATGTGACAATTTCAAATGGAAACATGAAATAAAGTTTTTTGTATGTTTAAACTGAACTGTCAAGATAGTTTACTTTGAAGATTTGAGTTTCAAAAATGTATTATCTAAATCATGCATTTTCTTAGTTTCTTATAATTCTTTATAATGGATTTCTTATACCAGAGCTCCTATTTTATCTCAGAGTTTGATTATTTTGTTCACATTGTTCTTTAGATGCTATTAAACTACAGCTGGTTGAAGCAGGCCTGGTAGAGTGTCTACTAGAGATTGTTCAGCAAAAAGTGGATAGTGACAAAGAAGATGATATTACTGAGCTCAAAACTGGTTCAGATCTCATGGTTTTATTACTTCTTGGAGGTGAGCTGTAATTTATGCCAGCCAAAGAATGTTGTTTTCAGATTTTTTTTAATTTATTGTCTCTTCTGTAAATACTACCCTAGGCATTTTCTCATATTCCTATCTCACCTGCTGTTGAGGTGATGATTTTGACATCTTAAACATGTCATTGATAGAACCAGACATAACGAACCCGAAAAAGAAGTGTCTTCACCATCTTCCAACGTTTGAAGAGCTGTCCCATAGAAGAGATAGCTTTGGCACCAAGGGACTAAAGAAAAGCTAGATGGCTCCCTAGGACTTGGACTAGAAAAATGCTAAACTCTATTGTCTAGTATCTATTAAAAGTTTATTATAAAAAGAATCATTACTTTTCCTATTATGAATGTAACAGTTTGTGAAGTATGAGTTTCCCAGTTGGATATTCACCTAAGAATATGAATTTGTTACTCTTAGTTTTCTCATGCTTAACTATTTGTTTCATTTACCTCCAGATGAATCCATGCAGAAGTTATTTGAAGGAGGAAAAGGCAGTGTATTTCAAAGGGTACTTTCTTGGATTCCATCAAATAACCACCAGCTACAGCTTGCTGGAGCATTGGCAATTGCAAATTTTGCCAGAAATGGTAAGCATATTAGTTCCTCCTTTGTTAGTCAAATACTCTGTATTTGTTTATTTTTGCTTTGCCGTCACATATACTAAAACTGGAACAGTTTAGAAGTTCTGTAATATGTGTATAATGCTGCTAACTTTTCAGAAATCTGAAATACTTATAGTGACATTCCTAACAAATTACATATTTTATGCAATTCAACTAAATTCTAATAGTTTAAAGATCATGAAGTGCTTCTTTTGAATACTTGGCATTTCAGAGCTTAGTAAGTTTGAATCCCATTCTAGTATACATATGCTTTCTTTTGCCTAGTGATTTTATTTTGGATCTAATTATTGAGTATTCATTCTAGGATTATTGTGCCTCAACTTATACTTTTATGCCCATAAAACTTAAGTATGAATAATCCCTTGGCTGTGTGTAGAATGTTTAATTTAGTTTAATAGTATTTTAGGGGGCACCAGACTTCTATGTTATGAAATCTGGCACTACTAAAAAACTCAAATACAGTCTAGAAACTAATTCTTATGTTCCTCATGAAATATACTATGTCTAGGAAATACAGTTTATTTTTCTTTTTAGTTTAATCATCTTCCAATACGAACTGTTGGTATATATTATAATGGCTGACTTACTCTATTTTTACTCCTCCTTTTTGGGAGTGACTCCCTAATAATGGAGGTAAGAGTGCCATAATATGGATAATTATTGAAACTAGATATGGGGTAAATAGTGGTTCATTATAATATTCTCTCTGCTTTGTAAATGTTTGAAAAATAATTTAGGTATCAGCCATGATAGCAAAAGGTAGAGTACTATCACTATAACATTGGGAGAACACAAGCATCACAATAAATGAAAAATATTGGACAATCTAACCATGTGTTTCTACTTCTGATATATTATCTGGCTCTAAACTGAAGATTTTTCTGGTAATTTTTCTGATTTTTAAAATTTTATCTAGTTTAAGAATTTTTATAATACTTCTCACTCAGTGAACAGAAGAACCTATAAATCTGATGGGAGAAAGATTTGGAATTCATTTTATTGTATGCCTCCATTTTCCCTAATGTAGATAATAGCCAGACATCAGTATTATAAGATATTTATAGATATTTTAAAGAGGAAGAAAAAGATGTGTGGTTTTTTTTTTAGATGGAAATTGTATTCATATGGTAGACAATGGGATTGTAGAAAAACTTATGGATTTACTGGACAGACATGTAGAAGATGGAAATGTAACAGTACAGCATGCAGCACTAAGTGCCCTCAGAAACCTGGCCATTCCAGGTAAGACTTAAGAATAGAAGGCAGCTATGTAAAAAATAAAATCCATCATTTGGGGAAGCTATTTACTGTATGTGATTTGTGAACCTGCTCTGATGAAGAAAATTAAAAAGAAAAAATAGTCTTCACATTGTTTACATTTTTTCATGCTAATAAATGGAGATCATATGTTAAATAAGTTTTGTGAGACTGTACAAGAATAATCTCTGCCTTCATTCAGATATCCTGTTACCTTTTGTGAATTCTTAGATTTTCATCATGTTATATAGTTAAGCTTTTTTGCGGTTTTTTGTTTTTGTTTTTTTGAGATGGGGCTCTCACTCTGTCAGCCAGGCTAGAGTGCAGTGATGCAATCCTGGCTCACCACAGCCTCTACCTTCTGGGCTCAAGTTATCCTCCCATCTCAGCCTCCTGAGTAACAGGGACTGCAGGCATGTGCCACCATGCCCAGCTGATTTTTTATTTTTTGTAGAAACAGGATCTCACTATGTTGCTTAGACTGGTCTTGAACTCCTGGGCTCAAGCAGTCCGCCCACCTTGGCCTCCCAAAGTGCCGGGATTACAGGTGAGAGCTACTGCACCAGGCCTTAAGTATCTTTAGTTGAGGTAGAATAATGACATCAATTAACAGAGTCCCCTCAAGAATGACTTTCAGTTGTTGGTGGTGTTTTTCCATGAGCAGACGTACAATATTTTAAAATAGCCTTAATGTGCCTTTGGAAGTCATGAAATCACATTATTATGGAAAATACAACAAAAGATAGTTAAAACTATTCTTTTATTCTACTTTCTAAAAATAAATTTTTGGTTAGATGAAATAGTACAATTACATGATGATCTAATCCATTTGAATTCATTTGGTTTATATAGGATAGTAACATTTATTAATGTCTATAACATTTATATTAACACAGTTGGATCAAAAACGGAATTGTGCTTTATTGTTGTAAGAGGGTAACTGTGTAAGTAAATGTTTTGGATTGGGTTTAAAAAGCCATGATATTGTCATAAAAATTATGATATTGTCTGTTATCCGCTTATACACAAATAGGATACGGACACACACATAAACAACTGAATTCCATTCTTAAAATTGACAAAAAAGTGACAGAATTGTTTCTAAATGGAAAAATATAACATGGATCTTAAAGACACTCAATAAACCTGTATTGAATTGAATGTTTATCAACAGGAATGCTAATACCATTTTAACCATAGTCTCTCTTTTTCTACAGTTATAAATAAAGCAAAGATGTTATCAGCTGGGGTCACAGAGGCAGTTTTGAAATTTCTTAAATCTGAAATGCCCCCTGTTCAGTTCAAACTTCTGGGAACATTAAGAATGTTAATAGATGCACAAGGTAAAAGAAATGTTTTCCCCAACTTGCATTTTTGGTATGATAGTCTTAATGTGCTTCTAGTTGAAAAAAGACTTGTTTCTCGCTTTCAAGATTATGTAATCATAAAAAATAGCAAATAAAAGATTAAAAAATTAGTTTTGGAACTCCATTTGTTAATTTTTGTGCTTGTTATAATTGACTATTTATTTATAACTATTATTTATTTATTTTTGAGACAGAGTCTTGTTCTGTCACCCAGGCCGGAGTGCAGTGGTGTGACCTCAGCTCACTGCAACTTCCACCTCCTGGGTTCAAGCAATTTTCCTGCCTCAGCCTCCTGAGTGGCTAGGATTACAGGCATGCTCCACATCTCCTGGCTAATTGTTTTTGGAATTTCACTAGAGATGGGGCTTGTTGCCCAGGCTGCTCTTGAACTCCTGGCCTCAAGCGATCCACGCACTTCAGCCTCCCAAAGTGCTGGGATTACAGGTGTGAGCCACCACGCCCAGCCTATTATTGACTTTAAGTAGAAATTATACTGTATCTGTCCTTATTAATTCTTATAATCCTGGTTTTAGTTTGCTTTATTATCAATTTCGGGGGAGGGTGTTGTGTTTTGGCATTCTATACCCATTTTCACCTTGGCTTTGAAATCAAATTTCATTATTGTGACAGTCAAAAATCTTAAAAATTTGTCTTGTGGCAGGGAGAGCATTTTTCTATTTGCAGAAACAGCAGTCAGAACCACTCCTAGGAATGAATTATGTTTATTTACTTATTTCTAAATTCTAAACCCTTTTCTATATTGATTGCATAGAGTCCTTCTAAGAACCCTGCATTATAGTCTGCCAGAGCACTAACAGACTAGCAGGCTTAACCAAAAGAGTATGAAATCATTTGTTTTTGTATTTTCTATAAAATTTCACAATGTTACAGAAAAAGGCAAATAGCCCGTCACATAAGGAATATTTGCAGTTCTAGCTTTAATGAAATTGTTGTGCTGTGTTTTTTTAGATGTATTTCTCCTTCACACTCTTAAATCTTTACGAATTACTTCAGCTGATTGTCTGTTAGTGATTCATTCCTTGGTTTGCCTTCTTTCCTATAGCAGAAGCTGCTGAACAACTGGGAAAGAATGTTAAGTTAGTGGAGCGTTTGGTGGAATGGTGTGAAGCCAAAGATCATGCTGGTGTGATGGGGGAGTCAAACAGACTGCTGTCTGCCCTTATACGACACAGTAAATCAAAAGTAAGTTCCAGAGGAAACTGTTCACTAGAAAACTTCAGAGCGTCTTTTTCAGAAACCCAGCATTGTAGGTCCTAACAACTGGGATAATATTTACCTGAAAGTATTGTGAAGATTCAGTGAGATCACGTGTATAATGTGCTTAGCTGGTACATGGGATATAGGAAACACTCAGTAAATGGAGGTTACTGTTGCTGGTGCTATTGTTGTTATTACTTTTACCACCACCATTACCAGCATTAGTGTCAAACATTTCTTTGTGCCGGGCATTGACCATGCAGGCTACTGATATTTAGAATTTAGAAATTAAATGATATCTAGATAGTATATGATGTCCAGAGCTCACAGAGTTAGAAAAAAATCCATTCTTGTGACTGTGCAGCTTTCTGGCACATGGTAGATAACCAATAAATGAACAGATGAGCTGTTTCAAAGATCACAATAGTGAGTACCCAGGCCAGCAGTTCAGCAGCTGATTTAGTATCTAGATTATATGATTTTTAAATTTTTTAAATACTGTTTTTTTCTTTTCTTTCTTTTTTTTTTGAGACTGAGTCTTGCTCTGTCGCCCAGGCTAGAGTGCAGTGGTACAACCTCGGCTCACTGCAACCTCTACCTCCCAGGTTCAAGCAATTCTCCTGCCTCAGCCTCCAGAGTAGCAGGGATTACAGGCAGGCGCCACCACGCTCGGCTAATTTTTGTATTTTTAGTAGAGATGGGGTTTTACCATGTTAGCCAGGCTGGCCTCGAACTCCTGACCTCATGATCCGCCTGCCTCGGCTTCCCAAAGTGCTGGGATTACAGGCATGAGCCATCATGCCCAGCCTTTAATACTGTTTTCTAAGGTGACCCTTTCAGTCATTTCTCTTGTACAACTTCAGTAGTGATTATATATGAGGAGAAAGTTTAGAACTCAAACCCACCAGCTGTTTTCATTTATTTTTAGAACAGATAAGAAGATGCCAAGAGAAAAAGCGTAAAACTAAAACTGTTCTTGACTTGTATAAATCTCTTTCATATAAATAATTCACTTCACCATAATAGCCATCCCAGCTGGTTAGCCTCAGGAGTGTTCTTCTCCATCAGATGCTAAATCTTGAGAACTTTCCCTGGGGAAAAGCAGCTGTTAACTAGGACCTTCCTATTACCTGTCTCACCCAGACCACCCTAAAATCTTATACATTTTCCCTGACACAGGACCAAGTAGTATGTTGGCAAAGCGGAAGTTATCAAGAGAGAATAGCAAAATGGCTTCGTTGGTACGCCTTTCACCCCTTCTCCATCATAACTGTTCTCTCATGCCCATTTGTTCATTTAACAGTTAATATTTGAGTTCTTGCAGTGTAAATACTACAAAATAGTGTTTCTATAAAGGAATTAACTATCTATTGAGGGGACAGACGTAAAAACAGCTAGCTTAAGTACAGCATTAAAGCTACATATGCTATTTGGATGTAACAGAGGAAAGAAAGACTAACATACTGTCTGAGTGGTCTGGGATGGTGTCATAGAAGGAGTGCTATTTTAGGGGCTAACTAGGAATCTCTCAGGAGGAAAGGGAAAGAGAATGAAGGAAAGGGCCTTTTCAGGCAAAGACAACAGGATGTACAAAAAGTACAGAGATGTAAAACAGCATAATTTTAGAAGGAAACTGCAAATAAAGCAGTATTGCTAGAACATAGAGTGTGGAGAGAGACAGTGGCCAGAGAGGTTGAAAACTGGGAATTAAGTAAATTGTATGCCAAGTTAAGGTGTATGGACTTGATTCTGTAGAGAATTCTGGAGCACTTAAAGGATTTTAAGCAGCAAGTTGCCATTATTTGGGTTTTTGTTTTTTCGGGATTTTTTTGAGACAGAGTTTCACTCTTGTTGCTCGGGCTGGAGTGCAATGGCACGATCTCCACTCACTGCAACCTCCTCCTCCCGGATTCAAGCAGTCCTCCTGCCTCAGCCTCCTGAGTAGCTGGGATCACAGGCATACACCACCATGCTCGGCTAATTTTGTATTTTTAGTAGAGACAGGGTTTCTCCATTTTGGTCAGGCTGGTCTTGAACTCCTGACCTGAGGTGATCCGCCCACCTCAGCCTTCCAAAGTGCTGGGATTACAGGTGTGAGCCACCACACCCAGCCATTTAGTTTTATTTAGAAAGATGTCTCTAGGGTTTAAAGGGGGTAGAAAGAACAGTTATTGCAAAAATATATATGAGAGTTGATAAAGGACTGAATTAAGGTTTTGAGTTAAGCAACTTGAAATTGCTGATACTCAGCCATTTTTGAAACAAATTTCATATGGGTTATTCAACTAGAAGCAGTGAGGATGGAAAAGAAGAGACAGAATTGAGAAAGATATGGGTGGTAGAATTGACAGATTCAAAGTAGAATTAAAGGAGGAGGTAGTTTTAGAGCTAATTCCAAGTTTGGGGTTAACCACCAGATTGGATTATGCCATTCAACAAAATAAAACATGATAGGAAGAGGTGCAGCTAACACTCCCTAAACTTGCCCACTCACCCATGCTCTTTGGAGTCATTACCCTTAATCTTTTTGCTCTACTCCAAGAGAATCTCCACCATTGGTTTGCAGGAGTGTATAATCATTTGGATTTCCCTGGGCCATATTGGAAAAAGAATTGTCTTGGGCCACACATAAAATGCATTAACACTAACAATAGCTGATGAGCTTAAAAACACATACACACACGCACACACACAACGCAAAAAAAAATCTTAAACACCGTTGGCATTTGAAGAAGAAGAGAAATCTAAAAGTTTAGAAAAGTGCGTTGGCTCACGCCTCTAATCCCAGCACTTTGGGAGGCCAACGTAGGCGGATCATTGTGGTCAGGAGTTCCAGACCAGCCTGGCCAACGTGGTGAAACCCCATCTCTACTAAAAATACAAAAATTAGCCAGGCATGGTGGCACGCACCTGTAATCCCAGCTACTAGGGAGGCTGAAGGAGGAGAATTGGTTGAACCTGGGAAGCGGAGGTTGCAGTGAGCCAAAATCGCACCACTGCACTCCAGCCTGGGTGACAGAGCAGGACTCCCAAGACTCTGTCTCAAAAAAAAAAAACTTGGAAAACATACTTGGGGGAATAATCAAGGAAAACTTCCCTGGTCTTGCTAGAGACCTAGACATCCAAGTACAAGAAGCTCAAAGAACACCTGGGAAATTCATTGCAAAAAAATCATTGCCTAGGCATATTGTCATCAGGTTATCTCAAGTTAAGACAAAGGAAAGAATCTTCAGAGCTCTGAGGCAAAAGCACAAGGTAACCTATAAAGGAAAACCTATCAACTTAACAGCAGATTGCTCAGCAGAACCGCTACATGCTAGAAATTATTGGGTCCCTATCTTCAGTCTCCTTAGACAAAACAATTATCAGCCAAGAATTTTGTATCCAGTGAAACTAAGCTTCATAAATGAAGGAAAGATACAGTGTTTTTCAGACAAACAAATGCTGAGAGAATTCACCACTACCAAGCCAGCACGACAAGAACTGCTAAAAGGAGCCCTAAATCTTAAATCCTGGAAACACATCAAAACAGAACCTCTTTAAAGCATAAATCTCACAGGACCTACAAAACAAAAATACAATTTAAAAAATTGGGAGGGTATACAGGCAACAGATAGCATGATGAATGGAATAGGACCTCACATCTCAATACTAACATTGAATGTAAATGGCCTAAATGCTCCACTAAAAGATACAGAATTGCAGAATAGATAAGAATTTACTAACCAACTATCTGCTGCCTTTAAGAGACTTACCCAACACGTAAGGACTCACTTAAGGTAGAGGGGTGGGAAAAGACATTCCATGTAAATGGACACCAAAAGTAAACAGGAATAGCTATTCTTGTATCAGGCAAAACAAACTTTAAAGCAACAGCAGTTCCAAAAGACGAGGGACATTATATAATGATAAAAGGCCTTGTCCAACAGGAAAATACCACAATCCTAAATATATACGCACCAAACACTGGAGCTCCCAAATTTATAAAACAATTGCCAATAGACCTAAGAAATGAGACAGACAGCAACACAACAGTGGGGGACCTCAGTACTCCACTGACAGCATTAAACAAGTTATCAAGAGAAAAAGTCAACAAAGAAACAATGAATTTAAACTATACCCTAGAACAAATGGACTTAACAAGTATTTACAGAACATTCTACCCAAAACTGCAAAATATACATTCTATTCATTAGCAAATGGAACTTTTCTCCAAGATACACCATGTAATACTCCACAAAACAAGCCACAATAAATTTAAGAAAATTGAAATTATGGCAAGTACTCTCTCAAACCACAGTGGAATAAAACTGGAAATCAACTCCAAAAGGAGCCTTCAAAACCATGCAAATACATGGAAATTAAATAACCTGCTCCTGAATGATCATTGGGTCAACAATGAAATCAAGATGGGAATTTAAAAATTCTTCGAACTGAACAACAATAAATGATACAACCTATCAATACCTTGGGAATACAGCAAAGGTGTTGCTAACAGGAAAGTTTATAGCCTGAAATGCCTACATGAAGAAGTCTGAAAGGTCACTAAGATACAATCTAAGGTCACACCTCAAGAAACTAGAGAAAAAAGAACAAACCAAACCCAAACCCAGCAGAAGAAAGGAAATAACCAAGATCAGAGCAGAACTAAATGAAATTGAAACAAAAAAAGACAATACAAAAGATACATGAAACAAAAAGCTGATTCTTTGAGAAGATGAGTAAGATTGATAGACCATAACCAAGAAAAGAAGAAAGAAAATTCAAATAAACTCAATTAGAAAAGAAATGGGAGATATTACAACTGACACCACAGAAATACAAAAGGTCATTCACAGCTACTATGAACACCTTTACATGCAAAAACTAGAAAACCCAGAGGAGATGGATAAATTCCTGGAGAAATACAACCTTGCTAGCTTAAATCAGAAAGAATTAGATACCCTGAACAGACCAATAACAAGCAACAAGATTGAAATGGTAAT